CTCTAACTAAAAACTTCCATAACCAGATAACTACACAGTGATGTCTCTAACTAAAAACTTCCATAACCAGATAACTACACAGTGATGTTGTTGAACATTTTATGTTCTTTCTCTTTTTAATAAAATGAGAACATAGAAGAAAATATGTAACTACAAATTTTGATAAAAGTAGCAAAATCCTTTTTTCTTCTTTCCAAGCCTTCCTTTGTAGTATTTTCTTGTGGGTTTTTGGTTTTTGTTGTTGTTGGGTTTCCTTTTTTAAATTATTTTGTGTAATTTGCTTTTGAAGTGATTTTGTTTGGTTAGTTGGTTTTGTTCTGGTGTACATCGTATGGATCACACCCATACAAACTTCATCTAGATCCTCCACAAGATGGTGATAATGTAAATTTTCCTGCTCCTCCATCACCAGAAAATATTCTGTACTTTTTTGTTACGCTATTGAATGGTGTCGAGTTATTTGAAGTTCCATCAGACACTGCACATACCYTAAATGTGTCCTGATTTCTTTAAATACATGTGCCTGTCCTAGATAATCTCACTAGGAATTCCATTTTACAGCAGTTTTCTCTCAAAAGCTACTTGTTACCAAGCAGCTGTGCACAAATCAGAGACGCCAGTGGGCAGAAAAATGTTTTTCACCTCTATCAGCTTTCACAAAGCTCACATCATAATGACACTTCCAGGACTAAAAAAATTGGCTTGAATGCTGAGAAAACAAGCGCATATTACAGCACCACATGGTGCCCATTTCCCCTGACCAGATGACCAAGAAAGGGATCTTTAGCAGAGCTATGTGTTAATGCTTCTCAGAAAAAGTAGGTTACTCCCCCCCMAAAAAAGACATTTTCAAAATTAAGTGTCTTTTATGCCATTCTGTAGTTTTGAATGGCGCTGTCTTCAGACAAAGAGAACAAAAGCAAAAACTTACATAATATTATCTGAATAATCCAAACATTTTTCCTGTGAAACCACATGGGAAGGACTGCTGGAAAAGGCTTACTGAAAATGTCATTTTTATTTCCCACTACCAGTAGGGGAATAGAAAAACCGAAAAACAAGTAACGTCTTTCAAGCTGGAATTTCAAGAGTTTTGCTGCAGAACCTGGAAGTGAAATTCCTTCCTACCAAACAAACAAACAAATAAACACACACACCCCAAAAAATAAACAAAGTAAACCTTAGCAAATTTTGAACTCCATTGTTACATTTATAACCTGAGAAATGTTAATCCATCCATCCAAATTTTCCAAAGAACAATTGAGGAGAAAAGTAGAAACTCAACAAAAAAAAAAAAAGTGAACTGAAAAAAAGATTCAGACAATCTGAAAAAAAAAGTGAACTGAAAAAAGATTCAGACAAGTTATCTATGTTTCTGTAAATAACACACCAACTCGCAGAGGAATTACAAAAGAGGACAATAATAAAATTCCATTGGATTATGACAGATACAGAGGGGCAAACAGTGAAGGATAATTCTTTTCTCTTAACTRCAGCAAAGCAAAAGCCATTACCTTTGACCTTTTTGGTAAATATTTTAAAACACAGGGAAGTCTCTTCCTCTTACAACAGCGAAACTGTGGAACTTAATGTCGCAGAGTGATGTGGTGATAAAAATGATGAATTAACTTATACAGGCTAAAAAAATTTCAAATAAAAGTCAATCAACATGTATCAAATATATATACGGATGCAAATACTGGGTATGTTTTTTAAAGGTCAGTTGTCAGAAACAAAGGGAGAAGTATTTTACCTCATCTGTTTCTTGCATTTGTTTRGGGGCTACCACTGGCCTGAGTTAGCTGAGCTGCAAGTACTATCTTTATWATAAACAGSTACCTAGAAATKACAGGAYTGGTTKGGGTCCWGGAATTATTCCTCTCTGCCCCCCACCTCAAGCTCTGCCACAGTAATTATAGGATAATTTCTGTTTCCAGACAGAATTTATTTCTGCATGTTTATGCCTGCACAAGACCTATGTGCTGTCTGAGAAGTGRCCAAGTCTTTGACCCCGTGCTCTTGGATTAAATGAGCATATTTAGATCTTGACCCTTCAGGAAATGATTTTATAATCAGCCATTAGCACTGAAAAGGATTACCAAAAGGAACTCAATATTTTCCATGCTGACTCACCAGAGTTTTCTATCCCACTCTGTTTAGAAACCCTGAGTAAGCATCTCGAATACCTTGGGCTTTGTGGAGATGACACAGAAGCTGAAGATCAGATCCTTGAAAGTCTGAATGGGATTCTCCTGGCTCTTACTGAAGATAGTTAAGTATCACTCTGGGTCACCCATTAACCATCTGCACAATTCAAAAGCATTCACTGCAGGTTTTGTCTGTTGCGATAATTTGTATTTCAAGAAGTGATTGCTGCTGGAACTACAGCTGCCCTCAGGCTGTATTGCTCTCTTTTCTCTCTGTACAAAAACCACAAAATTACCTGGGACCAGATTAAGTTACTAAAATATCTAAAGCTCCAGAGAAATTCCAGATTTAATATTCTATTTACTACAAACCCCTAMGATTAATTTACGGTGGTCCTATCAGGTCAGGTACTTAAAAAGTAGTTTCTAGTCCACTTATACAAAAGTCCCTGAAGCCTCAGCACATTCTCCTAAAATGACATAAAACTGCTTTTATTTGAATCTCCTGGCAGGTGGTGATTTACTACCTTCAGGACGGTTAGCCATATTTTTGATGAAAAAAGGCTAAGGGAATTGTCTATTCTAATTGCTAGTCTAATAAAAGATGCTGYGCCTACCTACAAAATTAATTACTAGGCCATACCTCAGGAATAGTACCTTAATCCCTGACTTCCCATACCTTATGCAGCATCCTTTTATAGTCAGAGAAGATGGAACTGTTTTCCTCTTTGCTTTGCCACCTATGCTTCAATTGAGCACAAAGCAGAGTAATCAGCTGGAACCACACTCGCTGCAATTCAAGCAGATGGCTGTGCCCATACATTCAGACTGAGACARCCTTTAAGAACCTTGTTAAATCAGAGCCTTGGATCCCACAGATACCCACTCAGAACTCTGGGAAACAAAGGAGCACACTAATAAAACAGCTGCAAAGGTACTGCTGGTATTGCTAACACTCTTATCACTGCAGAGCAGAGAACCTTCCGCCTACTCAGAGGGAGTGGGATCTTCCAGACTTTGGCAAAAATCCTGAGGGGCAATCCACGATGTGCAGTGAAAGCAGCCCACGTGCTTTCAGAGATAGCCAAAAATGGTAAGTTGTGCTCAAGTACTACTACAAGGCATCTTACAGCACATCAGCTCTGTTTCCAGTCAAATTTTGTTTCATGGCTACCAGCTATTGGTATTGCAATTGCTTTACTCCTAAGTGGCAAAAGCCTGGAATTCCCTCTCTTATCTACACAGAGCAAATGAAGAAACCATGTATTGAAGCAGATTTGGTTCCAACACTGATACCTTTGCTGGAGAGCACAGACCAAGAAATGCTGCTTCATGCTGGGAGGGCCATTGGCCGTATCTGTTACGATAATCGTAAGTACCACTGAAGACAGTCTGATTTTCCCTAGCTCTAAGGCATTATTTTACAAGGCATTGTAACCTGTAACTCATAATAATTTTATGAGACCTGAGCATATAACACCCTTCAGCCTGGTTAAATACACAGTTCACAGAGCTCACAGACTCCTGGCTGAATGCACCCCCAAGCACTGTCTGAACTTGGGGTTTCCCCCAATATATTTTTGACTTCAAGGTGGCACATCCCTGTCAGAAATGCTTTGCAATTACAAGAGGAGCAGAGCCTTATATATATATCTTAATCTTGCAGAAATGCCTTGGGTCCAAATACTGAATGGCTTGGACTTCTTCCAAAGTAGTAAGAACATCTATAAAGCAAAACACTTGTTTAAAATGTGTGTTAGAACTAAAAAACAGACTTTAAAATAGTAGTAAAATACTGAGATATTTATCTATGCAAGGAATAGTCTTCTCTGAGAACCACTGCTTCCATGCAGAAGACATTTTGCTCCAAATTGCCTAGACACCAGCTCGCCTGCTGGTCTCACAAAATTAGCAATTTTCATTTACTTGCCCAACCAGTTTAAGATTTTTCTTTTAACTCCCAGACTGGCCAAAATATTTGTATATACTGAAAGTAATGASGAAATTTCCACCAATTATCTTCTATCCACTACCCCACTGCCTTCAACCTATCTTCTCTTATCCTTCTGGAGTGGATCTGCATTGCTTTACCTAGAAAGCTGTGGGCTTGCCTCCCTGCACTGTTCTTACAAAATCCAAGCATGACAGGTACCTGCTACAGATTCCTCTAAGCTCCCTGCAAGTTACATGTATTTGCCAAGGAATGACACACAACAGCTCAAAAAAGCTTTTCCTTACAATTGTATTCAAGGCAACTGCTGCAGACCAGCATTGCTACAGCATATGGCCACACAGCACATCTGCCTCCCTTCTGGCACAGCACAGGCCAGGCACAGATTTGCCAAGGTGACTGTGACATGCTTTAATAAATTCTATCACTAAYGCAGCAATCAATACATCAAAGAGAAAAAAAATTCACTTCACCCATTCCCTGAATTCTGAGTTTCAATTGYGTAAGCTACAACAGCACCCAGACACTTTCTGGTGTCTGCCATACAYGCCGTCACCCAGGCAGCAGCTCAGCTCTCAGCAAGACACTGCTGCAAAAGCTGTGCCATGGTACTGCTAAGCAACCAGCAYTGTCCAACTTTGCATCTTATAGTTCTCAGCATTCTCAAAGTAATTTCAGATATTAAGCTTTCATTCCTTACAAAAYAAACTATAAATGAAAGGAAACAGTTACCAGTGTTTTCCTCAGCAAGCATATGYGTATGGAGACAGGTTTAATTCAAAGTAAAATCAGGATGTTTCGCAAAAATCTGTCCCRAACTTGCATTTCCTCCACACACTTAATAGCCTGAAGCCACCATACAAAAGCTTTACAACACTGTGAGACACTTTACTAACAACTGTCAGAAAGACCCAGACTACCTCACTGCTAAGCATCTCAGCTGGATCCTTTTCACTGATTTAATTAGTTCCTAATTCAATCACCTTGAACATCTATGCTTCACTTTCCAGGTGACCTTCAGGAAGAGCTGGTGAAGGTTGGAGTAATCCCATCACTGGTCCGAATATTAACTGACTATGCAGAGAGTGAACCACTTGTCCATGTTGCTCTACTGGCCTTGTACAATCTTGCAGACCTTGGTAAGACCTTATTTTGAAGTTTTTTTAAGTTTTTGCATCTCACAGCAAAATAGAATCTGCACAYTGTCACTGCCTTTCCATACAGGGTTGTGGGCTTTATTTGTTCTGGGGCCTTTTTCTTTGTTTTTGGGATGGTGCAGGGGTGGTATTTGGGCTTTGTTTTTAAAACACTACTGATACCTAACCAGAAYTGGCCACAGTATCTGGATTGGAGAAACAGCCATTTTTAATGCAGTTCCAGCAATTACTGGTACTACATTAAACAGGTTAAAACTAGGTTTTAACAGTTTTGACCCCAAAATAAAAATAGAGATGGCATGACTTCATATGATAAATTGACAGTTTCAGCTATTTCAGATTTGGTACATTAAAAGCTTGTTTATTAAAATTTCATTTCTATTTAATGATTAAKTTTCTATACCTTACTGAAACAGCTTCAATTTTCATTCACACAATTTTCAAAGCAAAAGCATCTCCACTAATTTAAAATATATTTGCCCTACTTTACACAAGTTGTGAGTAGTAATGGAAGAAAAAGACTAAATACAACATTATTATCACTCTCATGTATATGGTCTAAAATTTTATGTGCTGCTGACTCCTAACTTTATCACATACCCAGATTCAGCCAAGGAAGCTCTAAGCATGACAAAAGTTGCAGAACAGCTGGTGAAACAACTGAGGAGAGCAGAGAGCCATGAGAGGTTAGAGATTGTCTTTGAGGTCCTGCAAGCACTTGCAGAAAATGGTAAGGCTCCTTTTGGTCTGGGTGGAACAAGGGGAGATGGGGCATTGTACTGGTTTAAGCTCTGGGTTCTAAGTTTGCCCTTGGATCCTGCTAATGGAACCAGCAACCTTTCCAGTAGAAATGAGCCACAATAAGATATGACATCCTGGCCTGAAAAACACTTCAATAGCTGAGGCAACAAAGAAAGAATAGAGAGTAGCATTCCACTCCATTTCAGTATTCAAAAGACAGCAGATTCAAACTTGCTCTCTGTGGTGCAAAAGAGGAAAGCAGCAACTCAGATTGGTTGTTTTAATTTAAGAAACAGAAACAGCCAGGTAGTGGTTCAATCCCTGTTTGGGCCATTTATTCACTGCTGCTGCTTGTGGGTCCCTTCCAGCTCAGAATATYCCATGAATCTGTGAAGACTGGCTAAAGTTCAAGGATTTAGCTTYCTAGTTTGAAATGCTTCCACAAAGAGCCAAGAAGCTTCTAATGTGCTTTTACTGTGATCWCTACAGATGCTCTGAAAGTGCAGCTGGTGGAGGCAGGAGTGCCAGAGGTGCTGTCTGAGATCCTGCTGAGGCTCCATGGCAGCTCACAAGCTCAAGACACGTGCATTGTGAAGGCTGCATCGGATCTCATTGTGTCTCTGCTTCTTGGAGGTAAAAAAGGGACTATTACARGACAGATACATAAAGAATCAATATCCAAAAGTCCCTTTAGCAGAGGAGTTGCCACCTTCTCTGCTGCTTTCTTTTACTTAGCAGGGACCCATGCACAATCCCTTTCATCACCCTCACAGAAATTCTTCTCAGCACCACACTTTTCATTTCTATGGGTTAGAGCCCAGTGTTTGGGCTGCCATGCTTCCCTTCAGGCATGTACACACATCACCTCAGGTCATCAAAAACCACTGTGTCTGTCCCTGTGCACAACACAAAAGCCACACACAGCAACATGAGCCATGGTAGCTGTACCTGCAGCTGTAAGGTCACACCCTGCYTCTAGAACTTGACTTCCAAAGCTGGCTTAAGAGCCAGGCTTAAATTTAAAGCCAACCATCACATTTAGTCACAGGGTATTGAACTACTCCCCTATTCACTATTCCAAATCTGTTAAGTACTTTGAATATCCGGATTAACAAATGAAATGTAGTAACTTCTTGCTGTCTAAGTTCTKCATCTATCTATTGGGAACAGACTACACACATTGCTGACCCAGATGTTTTACTGGGACTTKAAGCTGATTTCAGGAACAACACAAAAARGCTCAAGACCTAACAGCAACTTAGTTTATGTGGTCCTGCTATGCTGTACTTCAGGCAATATGAATTAAAGAACAAAACATCAAGAACTGGAYACTTACACTGTATTCCACCACCCTCAATCCCAAAGTAATCAACAACMTAAAGGTCTTTGTTGTTAAGGTTAATAATTTAAGTCACCACTGACTGCATGAACATTTCATTTGGGGGCTAATTATAATAATTTAGGGCAATGCCTGTTGCTAATTTAACAAAGAAGGGGTAAGGTTGGTTATTCCTACCCTTCAAAGACAGAAAGCCACTGCAGAGTAAACCAACATTATCACATTCCATTACTCCCTGGTTTTGAGACAGTTACGTTCTTTTCTGCAGACTGGAGACTTGTATACRTTTAAGTTACAGATGCTAGTGATAATAAAGTAATTTGGGGAACATAAYTGTGGAAAAGGGAGTGATCAGGTAGGCAAGATTTTGCACTTTTGTTTCCTGAACCACATTTTATTAGAGGGGAGACTTTGAAAATATTTCATAGCAAATACGTTTCTTAGGAAAAAAAAATAATGACAGTAATGTTTTAGGTTTTAAATCACTTTTAGGAAGGGAGGGTTACTCAGACACATTGGGGGGCAGGGAGAGAAAGAAATCTCAAGATAAGCCATTTTATCTTTCAATTCCTGTTATAGAAAGCAATGAGTCTTTATATTCTGCAGAGAGAAAGAGACTCCTGGAAGGCATGCTGTGCTCAATCAATCAGCRACAGACAGGACAGGAAGTGTGGTGGGTTTCTCACTGATAGCTACTATACTGGCTTCAAACTCAATTAACAAAATTGCTCAACTTGCTGTATTAATAGGTGATTAATTATTATAAAAGATTCCCTCCCATGTGACTGAAGGTTGGTTTTGGGGTTTTTTTTTGTTTTTTTTTAAAGCAAGCAATCATACACACATCTCTTCACCTCCACCTCATAACCTTTCTGGACTCCCTTTCTTCCTTGTCTTGGACCCTGCTCTGAATCAGCCATTGTGCATCATGGCTCTACAMAGGCCACAGAACTGCCCCCAGTGCCTTTAACTGGCTATTTCAATTCACTCAACTGAATGGCTTGCTTTGTCACTCACTCTTCTCTCTCCATCTTCCCCACAACAGCATCAGATGCTTCATGTGGAAGAAGTGAATAATCCCTCTCATGCCCCAGTATGTAACTCTGATGTATGCACAGCTTTTAATCTAAGAGAAAAAAAATCCTATGGAAATCTGATCTCAGCATCAAATGACTTCCAGGCAGTAAAAAGATGACAGACAGCTTTTGCAGCTATGAAAAGTGGCTGTTCCTATCAGACTTTAAATATGAACCATTAAATTGAATGCTCTGCTGYTCTCCAAGCAAAAACTCCATAGGAGAGAAACACAATTTGGAGCTCTGTGACAATCAAAGCAAGGCAACCACTAATGGGATTTGCCTATTTGCATTTACTACATGAGAAAAAAAAAAAAGCTCTGACATTATTCAGTTTGAGAGATGGGTGGAGGAGGGAAATTAAGTTCAATTTAGGTTAGTCTATATGAAGATCAAAGTTTTTTCCCTGTAGAATTTTAACACACCAAAAGASGTGACCTATTTCTATGGAATTTGTTCCTAAAAAGGACTGGGCAATTTTCCTCATATACTCTGATCTCCAAAGATTAGGGCCAGGCAAGAGAACACTTGAAGAACAACAAGCAAAACCATCAGCTTTTGAGAATGTATGCATAAAATGGYATCAAAAGATTTTTACATTAGTAGAACTCCAGTCTATTTCATAGACTGACAGTTCTCTCAGGAAAATATCCACTTACACTTTATAAGCATTTGACAAATTCTTACGTAACATTAATAATACAGGGGGAAAAACAGGCTACTAAGTGAAACATTAAGAGATGAAAAGAGTAACAGACACTGGTTCAGAAGACAACACAGAGGAATGTTTATGACTTTGTGCTGGAAATAACACCCAAACARGCAAAAGTGTTACTAGAACCATTTTTACATACTATACATACAAAAATCAGAAGTCTGWATAGCTCAGTCTGTTAGAACCATGAGAGGTACTAAAACTATTTTTGGAGCACTATGTATTTGCATGAGCAGTTTGTAGTGCTATGCATAACTCTTTATTCCAGGTGAATACACAGTCTTTCTACACAGTGTTCACGCTCTTTTGCCATTTTTTAACAAACAGCCTTGAAAAGGTAAGAGCACATCAAGGAGATGTTSATGTGTGTCAAGCATATACTTCTCTTCAGGTATAATAAACTGCATGAAATAAAACGCAGAAAATTATTTTCCAAATTGGCACCTTCAAAATACTTCCTTCAGAAAGGATGCCACCTGTAGCACAGAAGGTTTCCTTTTGCTTCTAGCAGAACTTTATTATTTCCTGACAAGGTGAGCTAAGCAGCTTCTGATAAAGCTGACACCTGCACAGAGCAAGTTCTCAAAGGCAGAAGGAGACAGAGACATGCACTGACAAAATACTGCAGAGCACTGCTGAGCAAAGCAGCAGTTTTTTGGAATGTACAAATCTGCCCTTTTACCAGGATTAAATAAACCAAAACTCTCCAGTTCAACTCATATTTTCCTAGCTTCATTTYAGTGCAACACAAATAGATTTTTCATTTCAGTAAGTGAGTTTCTCAAAAGAGRTAAGAAAAAACTAGCTCTGGATCTTTTTCTTTCAAGGAGTAACTAATGACACCTCATTCCATAGAAAACAAGGACTAACAGCAGTATAGAACTAGCAGTCAGATTCACCATTGGTGGATAAGACCCATGGTTTCACAACAGTGTCTCAAATCAGTAGAATAGCAAAATTAAATGAGTGTTAAAGCTACCCTGGGGAGAAATGGAAAATGTCACTGGTACTCCACTACCTCTATAGTGGAAAAGACAACAGCACTGAGGGAAAAAAAAAAAGATTGGAGAATCTGTGGTTTTGAATTTGACAGTAATTGTCGCTTGAAAGCTCTCTCAAGCTAAGCTTCACTGGAGTCTGTCTCAGCATCAGTTAACAGGTAGCTGATGCTCACTTCTCTCTGGAGAGATGAAGGTTACAAAAAACAATGCAAAAGCTATAATCTCAGCAAGACATGAAAAGGCAAGACAAAGGCTTCCTGAATTCTCAATTTGCATTATTAGCTTCTCCCACTGTGTTTCTTACCTCTCACCTGTTGGGTTTTGCCTCCTTCTTCAGACGGGAACTGTTTGCGAATGATTCAGCTGGGAATCATCCACCAGCTTCTGGATCTTCTGGAGAAACACGTTCACAGTGGGGACACCTCTGTTCAACAAGCTGCACTCAGTGCACTTCAGAACCTTGCTGTACCAGGTAGAGCTTGAAGACARCTGACTTACTGTGATTCTGTGTAATGAAGGGTCATCTGTGCAGTTCTGTCAAGTCACAAATATCAGTCCCCTGTGTTTTGAGGGGCAGTTGACCTTTTCCCCCAACCCCTGCAGGAACATATATTTGAATAATTCATCAGGGCTTCCTCATCTATATAAAGAGTTTCAATATCATAAAGTGTTATCTCATTACCAGCTGTTGAATTGGTTTTGTATTAATAGCATACAGAACCTTAAGACAAAAAATCAGAATGTGATTTATGGCTTAAAACACAGAGTAGGAGGTGAAGCCTCAGTCAGGATATGAAACTTTCTCTTCTATAAACCAATATTCATTGCTACACACAGAACAGCAAATCTTAATGCTCTTTGAAGTTGCACTTTAAAAAGTGCAACTCTGAATTATAAAGTAGCAATATGTCAATACAGAGCATTTTGATTATCTGTTCTGTTCAATTCTATTACAAACCATTTTTGATCTTTCCAAGTGTGTGGGCACTTAAAATGCTATTCCTACACTGTACATTTCCTCATCAATTYATAAAAATATCTGTATTTAATATGTAATATCTGTTAGATATTCCCGAACAGAAATACATCACTTCAAGAAACACAAACCATCACTTTGAACAATATAATTGCTACCTGAAAAAAAAAAAGGAAAAATAAAAAAAGACACTGAGTGTAAATCCATAAACATGAATTAAATATGGGTCAACACTTGGAAACAGACCCAGAACTCTTCAAGTATTGATCTTAAAAGACAACAGATACTTATTAAAAAAAAACACCTGAAAAAGTCATTACGATCTAGTTAAAAGAGTCAGTCTGTGCTACTGAAAAACCAGGACATTAAAATCAAGGCACTTAAAATAGGGTCTGTTTCTCAGTTTGTCCAGTAAAAGGACAAAGAGATCTAACAGTTCTCTAATTTCTCTGTCCTATCTTCCTCACCRCTCCTCCAAAAATGCATGCAGAAGATGGGAAAGAAATTACTCTGGCAGAAGCAGCTTTTGGTAGTACAGTTAAGCAGTATTAAATCTCCTTCCAGACAAGCTTCTGATTATTAACAGGGATTACTGCCCCAATCACTGGAGCAAARAGACAAAAATTAGGAGAGGAAAGCACAGAAAGGCATGAACAACAGGGGATAAGTGAGCTCAAGTACAAAAAGAAAGTCCATTGTCAAGGAATATGGCTGAGTAAATCACTTCTGCCCCCCAGTCCAGTTGAGTTAGCACAGAACAGGCTTGCTCATGTGAGTGGGCAAGTGGATAGATAATATATTAGAAATAGAAAAAGGAAGAGAAACAGCAATGATACCTTTTATGTACTTGGTTCTGAGCAGGGCTAAAATCAAATATAGCCAAAATAGCCCAAGAAGAGTTCCTAGGCAAGTTTTAGTTCAAAAGAGAAGTCTAAACAATCAGTGAATCACGACTTAATTTCTGAGCTCTCTAACAAGCTAGACTTTTTGCTAGAAGTGTAACACAGCACACAATTCAGAACAGTTATGTAATATTTACATTTTCAAATGTTTGTGTGATTACTGAGCTTCACATCAACATCTCTTTTCCATTTTCCAGTTGTCAGCAAGGTTCAGATGCTGGAGGAAGGYGTTGCAGAGCGAATTGAGGCACTTCTAAGGTCAGAGAGTCCTCCTGTGCAGTCCAAACTGCTTGGAACCTTACGGATGTTAGCAGATGGTCAAGGTAGGCAACTGCTAATGCTCACCGAGATCAATTATCAACTCCCCTCCTCCCTTAGCYCTGCAAAACCACGGATGTGCAAGACTACGGGCTAAGTGTCCTGCTAACCTAATTCCACTCAATCTGGAGAGCTTCCAGCASAGATTATTGCCAGAGGCTGCACGCTTTCCAGACTGACCCACTCAGCCTCAAACATAGTTGAGACACAAACCACATGGAAAGGATCTGCAGTAGTCACTGAGAATGGGCAAAGGCCTAAAAAGATGTTTTTCACCAGAGACTCAGCTGCAAGGCATGAGTACAATGAAAAAGAGCCAGGCTTTAGTGTCAAATCACAGAACAAGTCAATAAAGAACTAGAGAACATAAAAGGAACAAAGGGAACTGGAGCAGAGAGGCAGGAGAAATGAGTTTTTACCAGTCACGCAATCTTTCTATACACGTTGCCAGTTTTATCTTGCTTGYGTGGCTCTAATGTTGAATTTACTTTGCATGTTAATGCATTGGATTATCTACTTGCACTTCATTCAATTTTAAACACAGGAGGGTATGCAAAAGCAACTATAATCTTTCTGYGCATATCATTGCATTTTGAGAAACATGCACAATGTCAGAATTACATTAAGATCTACTAGTTAGATTAACTAAGGTTAATCTAACCTTAGGCTTGTTTGGCTCTTCCCAGAGCATGACACAAAAACAAGCATTGTAGGGTTTGGTATTGTTTTTCATGTTGCTAGAGCAGCTGCTCTAGAGCACTARTCAGCAGTGATCCCTTGAAATGCAGGAATAACAGGAGGTAAGTCAAAACCAGAACACTGATAACCATTTGGTGATGGGAAGTGACAACTGACATGGSACAATTACAGACACCACTTCATTAGTTACATGGAAGAGGATAAAACCTCAGACTCCTACATTCCACACTGCACTCAACTGCACCACTGCAGACACCACTCAATATGACAGCTACTGGCATCCTTTACCAAATCAATATGCATGATAGAAAATTTAGATCTGGCCCTCATATTAATCTGCACTGCTTCCAGTCCAGTGAAAAGCTGCTTTTGCTTATATTTCCCCATGGTAAGAAATGAACATTGCAAGGTACATAGAAACATAGAATCTTCTTGCTCTGAGGCTTTGAGGAAGTCATTGTAATAGAACTTCGGAGAAATGATATCTCAATTGTGACAGGGGAAAGCAATTAACTTTTAAAACGGAGACACCATAGTAACACAGATCTAAATCATCAAAGACTAAATTATCTTTCCTTATTTACCAACCCTAATACAAAGCTGGAATTTGGCACAAGGTACAATTCCTGAATCTGAAACAACATAATTTCTGAATCTGAAACAACATAATTTCAAAAATACAAAGTAGAATCAAATATATAGGAGATTAAACATTTATCCATTCCCACCTATGAACACACAATTCTCCCACTTTTAATTACTTTCTATTCTGTTTACCCATGAGYTAACATTCCCCCTAATTAACTCTTATGAACATGTCTACTAAGAAGTCCACACTAAATTAGTAAATTGCCTTATCTACTATAAATGCATTATTGTGACTATCAGCAGGCATACTGATGCTTATGGAAGAGGTAGGTTYCTTCCAACCACAGCAAACTGCAGGCAGCTCTGTCAGCTTCATTACTCTAAAGAGATGCTAACTCCTGGTTCTTCCACCATTTTGCTTCAGAGGAGCAGAGTAATTTTTCGCACTTCAATAGCCAAAGTCTTTCAGCACAACTGGAAGTTCAGTCTTACACACAATTTATTCAAATTTGGAAAGTTTAAGTTAAAAAGTCTTCCTGTAAAGAATAACTAATTGGGGTTTTTCTCAAAGGGCTCTACTACCAGTGGACATCAGGAATTCCTTGGCAAACTAAGAACCTGCCTTCAGAACAAACYTCTTGAACTTGTTCCATCCTCCAGCCTCATTTCTTTCAGCTTTCTGTACTAAACTGGATTACTGTGACCTGTCAGACTAACATCTGACCTACAAACAAAAGTCTTGTGTTACAGGAGATAAGGCCCAGGTAGCTATACAGTGCCCAGTAACTCTTATCTCAAACTATGTCAACCAGGCTATAAGCTCCCAGATTCCTTGTGGGATTTGGACCTGTGGGTTGTTCCTTAGTGTACCAGACAAATTAAAAAAAAGGAAGTGCGTGTACTTCCCCATCTCCCTCCACCAAAACAGAGTACAGGCTTAATTACAGCTTCTGAAAAATATCTGATCGTGTGGTTTACTGACACTGACCTTCTGGAGCATGCTCCACTTGATCCTTCCAGCATATCTCAAAAGAAATGCAATACACAGAGAAAGGGACAGGTGATGCCTCTATCAAACCTATCCCTTCTGTTACAGATGTTAACGTAATTAGAGTTCCACTTCTTAAGAACAGTTACCTGTTCTTAAGGTTTTTTCAAATGTCAACCACACAGACTAATATTTCTAGCAAGTCTTGAGATGGGCTCCTGAAACACAGAGGAATGTAAATTAAAAGGCTCTTCCACACTCAAGAGGAATTTCTCATTATGCCTTATACATGGTTCAATACACACTAAGACTCAGGTCATCCAGCATRCTGCAATTCTGCACTAAGACTTGGGTTCCCATGCTACCAACAGTAATGAATTATCACTGAAATAGCACGAACAGGCTCCCAAGAGCTCCTAGTAACATTTGTGCAGGGCTCAAAGTGCAAGTGCAAAAAGCCAAATGGGAACAGGACAGGCCTCCTGAAGCAGCACTATTGAGTATTTGCTTTGCAAGATAGAAAGCTGCTCATTTTAAGCCCTCTTTCATCTTCCTCTTCAAAAGGATAAGTCCAYTGGAATAGCTTATTTTGTCCTTCCCCTGCACAACTCCTTTGGTAAACACTTCCAAGATGCTTTAAAAGCCCAATGCTTTAATTAAGAGTTCGGATGCTGAACACAGGTCCCATGGCCCATTACTTCTATATTCACATTTCTGTGACAGAGAGAGATCTGATTTTGAATGCCTCTTGGTGATGCTTTTCTCTGCAGCTGATRCAGCTGAAATCCTGGGCCAAGACCCCTTGCTGCTGAACAGACTGGTGCAGTGGTGCAGTGTGAGTGACCACAGTGGCCTTTGTGGAGAGGCACACCGGCTGCTGGCATCCATCCTGCAACACAACAGATCCCTGGTATGAGAACTACGGTCTGAGATATTTCTAGTTCATCCTTTCTCAAATATTTTTAAAGCTTGTTGACATAGCTAGGGATTAAATAGTACATACAGCTTTACTATGAAAACCATCAGTTTTAAAAAGAAACCATTAAAACCAGAGTAAAAACCTCTCTGGTCTGCCTCAATCCAAGTAAGGGGGAAGTGAGGGGGAAACCTGTGCACTCCTTAACCACAGACACCTCACAGAAATTACCATTATGGTCACTTACTGTCACCTGTCATGTGTGACCTTGCTTGAGTAAGGCTTGACAAATGGTAAGCAGGGAAAGCTTTTCTATGGCCATAACTAAGATTCAAATTTCAAATTAAAATGGTAAAAATAACCCAGGCCTGTCTTAAATGTCAGTCCTCCAGAGGTGCCAAAGAGCCCACTTACCTAAGATGAACGAATCTGGAATGATCTTTATTTGCTAGGATTTTAGAACAGGCTTCTGGGTTTTTTTTGTAAATCATACTATTACACAAAAGCATCCCAGCCCTGCTACAATTTCATGTATTGACTAAAAATGTAGCTATTACTGCACAGGCTTTGATAAAGCAAAACTAATCCTTGCTAGTTTGATGGCTTGAAATGAAAGAGCAGAATAAGGACAAACTGAAAAAGGACAAAATAAATACTTATCTTACAGACATGCATTTATAGTTAATTGTAAATACTGATACTCCAGGTAAATTAGACCAGCCCTAAGCAGACATGYACGATCAGTGCCAAAAGCAATGTTACCTCTAGTCTTCAAATATTGCCAGTTTGCACTGCAGCAAATAATTTCCATCTATTCTGAAACTGAAGAGTGTAATTTCATTTCCCTCTTCATTCTTCTGTATTCCTACGTCAGATTTCCTTCTGTTTTACCTTTGCTTTAACAGGAAGTGGTCAAAGCCATCCAGGCAGCACAAGGAGTGAAGCATCTGGTTTCCATGACAACAAGTGAACATGCTGTCATGCAGAATGAGGCTCTGAATGCCTTGGCAATAGCATCTGCCATCGATTTAGGTATTTTTCTCCTAAAAGCATTTATCTGTGCAAGATTCTCAATTACTCAGAAACATTGCCCTGCTGTTAATTCTAGGTAACATGTATGAAAAAGCATGTTTAGGTCTTCAGCACGAAAAAAAGGTTGTCAGCCATTCAGATCATAAAATCAATAGGCTTTGGGAACGGCCTGAAGATTTTTTTTTTGTTTAGAATAGARTCAAACTATCCTTGTGCTATCTGGACAAGCACAATCTATTGGAGTAGCATGATATGATGCTAGAAACCTACACAGAAAAAAAAGAGGTAAATACTTTTTTTATCTTCTCCACCTTACATCTAAATCAATGACAAACTATATACTTGAATGTTCAATGAAAACTACAAGTAGAGGAAATAATCTTAAGRCAGATATGAGGAAAGAATAAAGCAGAAAAAACAAAAAGGCATTGTAGAAGCTGCAAATGAAGCAAGTGAGAAAAGTGCAAAGACTCAAACTACTTTTCCTGACTTAATTTTCAGTTATATACAATTTTTTTTCAGGTTTTTCCTGTATAACTTGAAAATGTGTCTGAATTTATTACAACAGACATCACAAAAATATACAAACATCAAGAGGTGAATTGAAAAGAAAAATAAACTTGAAATTTGTAATTTCCTAGTAAGACTGAAGAGCCCATTTTGCTGCTTGTCTACCACTAAAACTCTCAAACTTACTTGGCCAACTAATGTTACTCAACACTTCTAGCACTGATTAGTGCATGTTTTAATCTATTATGAGGTTACTTAATACAGTCTATAGTAGACTRGTCCTGTCTTTGAGAATGAGGTCAGTAAAAAAATGATTGCAGGAAAGTACAGAAAAGAGCACAGAAATAGAAGAGAGATGCTCAAGACATCCCTGTCTATAGCCCATTTGAAACGAAGGCAGTCAGGAATTTTGTTTTTAAAATTTAAGAATATTCACTTTCTAATTTCTTTTCACATAACAGCTCAGGTATTTGTTTACTTATTTTTCAGAAACCCTTGAAGAATCTTTCAAGGAATCACAGCTAGTTCAAAGCTTACACAAACTTCTAAAAGATGATAACACAAGTCCTGAGGTGAAATACAATTCAATGGGCCTTTTGTGCAGACTTCTTAATTCAGGTAACCTCATTTTAAGTTGTGATGGAAGGATGGGATAATTTGTGATGAAGAAAAGTGCTTCCTGTTACCAAAATATGCTGCCTGCATTCACTGCCTCCACTGAATGAGCAAAGGACAGTAGAGGTTCATTTTTCATTGATCACCAAAAATCCTAGTCAAGTAGCTTCCTTCTTTATGAAATGTTAATTAAACCATCAGTTGAATAAAAAAAAGAAAAGGCTTTATTCCAGTGAATCAGTGGCATAATCAAGTCCCAAAATAGCAAAATTAGAGCCTTGGAGTAAAGGCATCTTTGTCCAACTTCACCATGCTCAAATGCCTGGCAGTCCCAGAGCATTTTTGTGTCCTAAGAAATAGTCTGTACCATGCTCRTAGCAGGCATGCATTTGTAAGCAAAGCAGAAGCTGAGACAAAGCAGCCAYTTCAGCAATGCTGCCTTCACACAGTAACTTTCAGTAAAGCGCATGAAGGACATGATTTCAGTTCCACTCCATAGTTAGAGAAGACTTAAAATGCTTCATGCAAGATCAGACTATTCCAGATGTGCAGCACTAAATAAAAACCAGCAGTCCAAAGTTCTTGTGGCAGTTTCTCACATCTTAATACAAAAAWTACATAAATGGAAAACAAATGGAATACTTAGGCATGGATTGACCACAAAGTGAGCTGCCTTTCAAATCCTGGAGCCATCCTGTACTGACAGACAAGCTAGATTTTGTGGTATGCTCTACTCTTTCCCTGTAGCCTCACAGATATTGGAACAGGGACAAAGCAATTGCAGCTTTCAGTGCTACTATGAAGTATTGACATAAGAGATATGATCTATAAGACATTTTTCCAGAGATGCATATACCTAGCATTTGACTGATTGTAACATTAWGAGTTGAGTTGTACTAATATGGAACAGTAGCAAAAAGCATACAGCCAAAAAAAATGCTAGAAATTGTCCTATAAATTGTATTMTAATGTCAAAATTTGCTTTTTTTCCTATCAATTTACTGATAATCTTCTTGGAAGTCAAAAGGAGAAAAAGAAATCTTAACCTGTCCAATACTTCCAACATCTGAAAGGGTATCCCTAGGGAAAAAAAAAAGGTTGTAATTAAAGCAGTTTATTCTGAACAGCAAGTACTCTAAAACTTTTATCTTGCAATAATTGTTGGGAGCCACTATGCCATGTCAGGTAATTAAATCAGCATTTCATCTCCCATTCAGGCGATCTGAGACAAGAAATAGAAAAGGACAAGATTAAGGACACCCTTGAACGACTCTGCAGTCACAGCAATGCAAACGTGGTCAAGGAAGCCATCACAACATTACAGGTTTTGAGAGGAGAGACAGCCCAGTAACCTCCCTGCTCCCCATGGCACCCCAGCATTGCTGCTGAGGCAGACACCAGCAGCTTTGTCATGCTGCTGCAGTCCAGGGGCAACTCCTGCTTTTAAARCTGTGTATAAAACCCCCTCATTTGCTCATCTGTTTGGCCTGATACCTGCACCACTGCTGCTCTTCACTGAGCCACTACCACACAGCAATAGAGTAAGTCTTGTCAAGCAAGTGGTGTTAAARAACACAGGGGAAACATGAAGCAATTACCACTTGTTACACATTTTTTAGATGCTTGGTTTTGTGAAATTAAGATACACACTGGCAATTTTTCTTGTATCAACAGGACTTTTAAATAATTATATAAAAGTCTTAAACTTTCATCATACAATCTGAAACACGGGTTAAAGCTGTAGCTTAAACAATGCAAAGGGCTGACACCAACTGAACCAACTCCAAGCCCAACTGTTAAGTGAATATGTTAAAACCAAAACCATCTTTAAACTAAATCCTCCTTCAATCTCCAATTTGAAAACTCATCTCTGAAACTCTACCTGCCGGTGTCACAAGTTATATTCCTAAACACTTGAGGCTGTAGTCTTGCCCTAATTTCAGAGTTGCACCTACTGTAACCTGGAATGAGACTCTGCAGAAGTTTACAAGAACCTGCAGTCAGGGAACACAGAGTGCTTGGACAAGACACACAAATAAATCCAGTTAGAAATTACAGGTGGGCAGGGGTGAAGATTCGGAGGCAGCCAGCATTCCATTACCATCCATAAGAGAACCTGGGTTTAACTTCAGATAATGATAAACAAATGGCTCTGAACATGTCTGCGGAATCCTTTTTTATGTAAAGTCACTACATGGGAAGGTAACAGATCGTATTCCACAACTTGTTCTTAACTTTTTGAAGCAGTTGAAGGTACATTGCAGAGTCATGTTGTCCAGATCCAGGAGATTCAAATCAAAATCATGTAGTGGGAGACTGAAAAGCTTGGGAGCAATTACTTTTTTTTTAGCAGGCAGAAAAGCTATTGAGAAAAAAAATAAGCACTGATCTTCAGTGCTTCAGTTCAGAAAACTATTATAAAGCAGACTATACTTAGAAGTCAACAAGGCCTCATGTTCTCAAACAATTGAGTACAACTGGCTGGTATCTGCAAACAAAGATGACAACTTTGTTCCTGCAAAAGCATTCCCACTTGCAAAACCGAGTAACACTACTTAGCCCACTACACTCACCACCAGGTATCACTCTCAGGAGTACTCTTGAGAAAGGGAATTTCATAAAACCAYCCAGACAAGTAACACACAAGCAGGTTTTGACAACACAACAGAAGCAAAGAAAAACAGCAGTTGTAACTTCTTCGATGTCCAGTGATTTAACAGTTACTCTACACCATTCTGCAGCTCTTTACTTGTTCATGGCTTTCCATTAACAATGCAGAGAAAAGCATCGGTCTTATCTATTATTCAACAGCCCAAACTGAAAAAATATCAAGAATTAGTTTCAGCAAAATACACAAACAAGCACCCCTGGGCCTTTACCATTTCTAAGTTGTTCCACAAACTGCAGTCTCAGTAGCCAATTTAAACCTTAGAGAATTAAATACTAGTGACTGGAAGCAACAAATCATAGGAATCAAATGCCAGGAGTAGAAAATATTAAATTTTATTTAATCAAATTTAAGGCTTGAGAAAAAAAATATATTGAAAGTCACTCAGAAAAGCCATCTCAGAAGAGGAGACAGAAGCTCCCCTTCCAATGGCTGAACAATGTTCAAGCTGCATGACAATGCACAGGTAGTAAGGGGAATTAAAAAGGAAGGATGGAATGGGGAGACAAAACCCAAGGCAATTCTACACATAAATCAATTGCCACATCAAGCTCAATAGACTGGAAGCACAAGCCTATCCACGTGGCACTGCATAAAGTCACCAAAGSCAAAGACCTCTTGGGAAGAAACACTCAGATTTTCATGAGGCAGCTGAAGGTCCTTTGGTCACTGCACTTTTTTCAGTGCTTATATTAATCATCCTCTTCATGTACTGGGAAACTGTGTCCAAAAGCAGTTCTATTAATAGAAACAAAGAGGCAGCTGCACTGTCAAAACAGACTGACAAATACATACATTGCTTAACGGAAATAAACTGTGCTCGTTTCTGAGAAATAAAAGTGATCACATTTAAGTTTTCTTTTCTCAGTCCAGTTCTTCAAGTCTGACCTCATTTGACATCTTCATTGAAAACCTTGGTTCCACTGTAGTGTTTGTGAAGTTATTCTAAATGCAACCACTGAAATCTCAGCATCAACAATGTATGAAACCTCTGTGAGATTGCTGAACTACTTTTCCTTTGAGGCTTTAAAGGCAGGCTCACACCCAGCTGCATTTGCTGACAAGACTTTTTTTAGACCGTAACCTAAATCCTTAGCCATGAAGTCACTGCAGGTCCACAGAGAAGGTGCTAAATAAAACTAAGTAGAAAGTGTTCCCATTACAAGTCTGAAATTACGCTAGTCACGTTGTAGGGGTACATCAAAACCTAAAGGGGCAAAACCTAGAGCCCCAGGATTTTAAAAATAATACTGAGTAAGCACAGAGAATTAATCCACAGTGGCAAAAAAGAAATCACTCCATGAATTTAAAGATCCTCAAACAAGTTGAACTTCTTTCCAATTCAGTTCCAATTAACTGAAGCACTGATACAAAGCTGGTGTTAATGTGGCCAAAGAACAAACTGTGAAAAGACAATACWTCAATTAAATTCCATTTTGCATACAAACAGTACCTCAAAAAGAACAAATATTAATTTGTCTTCAGGCAACTTGGCAAGATTTGCAGACCCTGGAATCCTAATCCACAACGCTGGCTCCTGTCAGGAGCTAATTTCGGTGCATGAACTCCACAGCCATCCTTGACACCAGGATTATTTTCCACAAACTGCTGGAATTCCTTCCTAGCATTAGGAGCTGGGTCAAAAACTGGCAAAGGGAAATGTACTCCCAAGATGTCATTTTCAATGCAATATTTTACGAATAAAAAGTTACAAATAGGAAGCATCCTTCTCCAATTTTACATATATCAGATCATTACACATAACCAAGTAAGTTGGTTGACGAGGTGTTTCAAAGTTTCAAGCACCAGAATTTAAAGCAAAGTTTGTGGACTGCTGTGCTGCTTGCAAAGTCATAGTACAATCACACATTTCTGGCTGCTCCTAGTGGATTAGATTCAACAAATAAGCAACACAGACCTCAAATTCAAAGCTTTACAGAAGAAAYGCCTCTTGCTCTCCCCTCAGTGATCTACTGTTATTGTTTTCTTGTTGTACACCGAAGTTAGAAAAGTCACAGTGTACTTCCTGCCATTTTGATTTCACGTTTTCAGATCAGTTAATAGTAGACACTGTCTGCTACTGTAAGGAAATCAGYCATCCTTAGACAAGCTTCCTTTTCCTGTTGTGTCTCAATCACTGGCCAGACAAAGAACTATGAAAGCTGAAGTTCACGTGAGCACTGTCTGAAGTGCTTCACAGATCACAAGCCAGAAGGATGCCTAGACAATCCAGGCACAAAGATTCTCACTGTTGATCAATTTTTGCCACTGAAATGTTTTTTCAGTCTATGCAGAATACAAAAAAAAAAAAAGACATAATGTATTTGAAAGTTGGGCTTCCAAAGAAAGCCAGATACTTTAGAAATACAAGTATTAAACCCTTCAGGCACACTACATATAGTAAAATATCATTATAAAAAAATATACTTTTCCAAAATTTGCACTGTGTTAGGCACTGTAAATACATCTGCTCTCGCTGAAAAATCTAGTGTCACTGGAACAGTAAATATTAGTTACATGGCCCACAGTAAAACTGACAGCTCTAGCTACTTCCAAGAACTTTTCAGCCACACACTTTYACCTCAAAGCTAAGGATACAACACCAAAGCCTTCCACAAAAGACTGGAAACTCTTACTGAACTACAGCTTCATCTACTAAATCCCCACAAGGAGAGGACTGGAAAAAAAGTTTTGCTTTCTCTTGATTAAAATAAAGATTCTCATGTAAGAAGGACTAGTCCAGTTTCATGTAGAAAATTATGGCAAAGAAATAATTCTGGTTCACTGTACTTTGATTCACATTTGAACCATGAACCAGGCAGAACTGAACATTCAACAGATTTATAGAAGACTTAAAAATTCAACAACTTTTAATCTTTCCCTAACCTGTACTTCCTTATTTAAAAACATATTTTAGTAAGGATTAACACTGAATTTGTAAGTCTTTCACTAGTCCTGGTAGTGGCAGTTAAGACTTGTGAAGATCATAGCAGTTGTGAGAGAAACTAGAGAAGTAACAAAAGCCACCAACAGCCAGCACAGCATCCTTGCCACCTACTGAAACAAGCTGCATTTTGAAGTTTATGCAGACAGCACTTTTTAAAGATATTACTGATCATTGAGGATAAGCATTTTCAAAGAGGTTTTTCTTCTATAAATACAGAATATTTACATTTTTCTCAGACAGGAAACAGCATCAGGGCTTTACACACAGTCTTGCGTGAAACAGAGATTTGTAACACAATGCTATAGWCAGTCAGATTTTTCCCATCCTGGGAACTGGCTTGCATTTTTTCAAAACAGCATAGAGTTTGCACAAACAAAATTCAACTGAAGATCTAGACTGTTTGAGATTTTTTTTTCCCAATTTCCGATTATCGTTGCTGGATATCTTGCCAAAAATGGCTGGATAAGTCTACTGTAGAGATTAGTATGATTTCAAGATGCTGAAGAAATCAGCACGTGATATTTGAAAAAACTACATTTTAAGACAGATGAGAAGAGTGAAGACAGAACAATCTTCTTAGCAATCCTTCAAAGAAAGGGTTTACAGCAGTTTCATGTCTCCCTGCTACAGTCTTTAAAATCTGTTTGGCCAATGACTTGGAAATTCCATTTCTTCCTCAGARATCAACGCTGGTGGACTGAGTTGTCTTTTTAGAAAAAAGGTAGATTGTATGTGTTTGGCGATTTTTTTTTTTTTTGTAAGAGCTTCGAGCAGGGAAAAAAATCCACATAAGGCTTTTAACAACAGCAGTATTTCATGGTCCGTGCATTTCTTCCACCTTTGTGTCCAATGAATCTTAAAATATATTGGTTTGCAACACGTGTTCTGCTTTCGTATTCAGAAGGCATTACTTGCCTTTACAGCTTCAATATCAGAAATCAATGTCCTGGCTAGGAAAATCCCAAAAATCTAAAAAGATAAAAAACATACCATTTGTGAGATACAACACTTGTAATGTACCAGTGTGCAAAATGTTTGTTTGCAGGTTCAGGTACCATTTCATAGCCAGGATCATCCATCAAASCATAGCTATTACTAAAAAGTAATAAAGGCAAGCAACAGAATCTTGCAGGCAATAAAACTCATGAGAAAAATGCTCTCATGTAAAACTTCAGGAGCTTTCAAAATAATAAGCTTCTAGATACCTTAGAAGAAATCCACTTAGCCAAGTYTGAGTGTCACAAACACCCATGCTTACCTATTGCTAAAGCTACAAAGCATAAACTTTGATYTGTTTCACAATTTTGATTAACAATCCAGTCAGCTTTCAGATCAATTTTTTTACATACAGACAGAATATACAATTACCTGTACTAAAATGTAATTCTTCTCTTACTGCTGCCTGTGACAAGTCCTAGATTATTCAGAGACATTTAAATTTGAAATTTTAATATTCATACCAGTTCTCAGTTTTCCTTTACAAATTGAGGATTAATTCGTGACTCAGCAAATTTCCTGAAACATTCTTAGAAATAATATAAAACTGGGGTGAAACTTTGAAAAGCTAAAAGACTTCCTTTAAAACTAATCAGTTTATTGGGGGGTCCAATTCTCAGCCCCATCATGAAACAGCTTAATGCACAAGAAAGACCTGATTGGAAAAYACCTGTAACTGAAAGTGGTTCCACAGAGACTCAAGACTTGAATAAAGAACAACACTGCCAAGTTATTGTCAGTCAGCATCCTGCCAAAAGATTAAACTTCTTCTCTTGAACATCTTCCTAGCAAGAGGTGCTGTTCTTAGCACAGCATTTCTCAAACCCATGGATGCACTATCAGTAGATGGTGATTAAAAAAAAAAAAAAAAAATCATACCCTCAGCTACAGAGGGCAGTATTACCAGGGCTGGAGAAAAGTATTTTGTTAGCACCCTATACTCACCCAWCTATTGAAAATTTTGTGGAAAATACTTTCTGTAGCAGATTAACAAGTTTATTATTCACCCTTGAAGTGAAGGAATTTCATAGCACAGAAATTAAGGCAGAGTGCAAACAACTGCCATAATGAAAGCAGGATCCACCTTGAAAGAARCAATCTAACATTCTTTACTGAGAATTTTAGCTCTCTCTGATATACTAAGCACTGAGGTAACAGAAGTCACAACAGGTCTTTCATCTGGTTGTGATAACATCTGATTTGCAACCTGTTCACCTATTTCCCTGCTCTTAAACTCTCAAGGTTTTTGAGCAGCATGCTACACCCACTCACAGCTGGCTGAGGCAACCTTAACATGAAGGACAAGGTTTTATCTTACTCATTTCAGGTTTGTGATAAATGCTGGAGTTCAGATCCAATGGAGGAGACAAACAGCAGATTCTCCCTCCTTCATGACATGGAAACACATGGAATGTTTTATATAATAATAATATATTAACATATAATTATATGAATGTTACAATATATAGCACAAATATCACACACTGTATTATTACTTCATCTTCACTGCTTKGAGTAACAGCTATTTTCACACTAACTCCCCTTTCCTAAAAGTGGCATATGTGCCATACTCATACCTATAAAAATCCACATTCAAAATATTAATTTTACCTTTGTTCACAACTTCTTTTACCTTCACAGCAGGTCTGCATCTGCAAATATGATGTTTTTTCCAAAGAATCATAACAATAACAACTAACCTGAAGCAGTGAGATAGCTATGAAGACACCTGCAACAATGTAGATATTTCGGGGTAACCAAGCTTCAAGTGCATGAATACAYCCCTTGACAAAAATCTGTTCATCCCATTGACTTTTGCTCTGAATGTAGAAAAGAAAAATAAGGGTATTACTTTTTCTGYTCAAGTTTATTATAAGATCAATCAYATGATCTTGCTAAGCTAATGTTTTATCGTTTTTGCAATAAAGTTTTTAACCACCCTTCAAAAATACACGTCTAAATCAGGGAATGTYATACATTTATATTCATATCTTCCTGAAAATCCTGTTGTTAGAACACTGTAGAGTTACCAGATAATAGACTAGCACATAACAGATGGTCAAATTAGCAGATAACAGATCAGCAGAGTTAGAGGATTACAACTGATAACTGAAATACACACTTGAAATCCAGGTCCTACCCCTTTTTGAAACACACCTTTCCMCTTACCTGTTCCATCAGCTTTTTTCTCTAYCCTCCCACAGTACAAGCTTACTGTAAATGAAGGACAATGCCTACCTTGCTCTGCTTGTAGTATGATGTAGCACAGTCAATTAGTTCCCACACTTTTAAGCCAACATCCATCAGCAATCCCACCATTTTTATAGTTTTATCCCACCATTTTTATAGTTTTGCCTATGCAGGCACAGAACGTGACAGTACCTTACCTTCTTTCTGATATCATAGCCACACTGTGTATTCACAACTTTTTGCTGCAAAGCAAAAGAGGTTTTAAATAAATCAACTGAATTCTACTCGCTTCTGTTCACAGCGCATTTTTCTTTTATATTCCTAAACATAYCAGGACTATCAGAGCTGACCATTTTAARAAACATTTTTAGCAAAAACAAGCAAAGCCCTAGCAGAACACAAGAAAATTAATGACAAAGCAAAKGTGTGTACGAGAAAGATGATATCCTGCACCAGAAATCTCAGCTGCTTCTATCACTTGGTATTCAACTAGCAACTTTTTAACATGAAAACTGCACTGCTAGCACACRGGTAAGATACTTGCATTTACAAAATACAGAATGAGTTATGCTGGAATATTAGTAAGACAATYTCACATTAAAAGGATTTTAAGCATCCTTTTGCCTACTTAAATACAACACCAGCAACAGAAAGAYCTGCAGCTGAACAGTACTGCCCCAAACTAAACTACAAAATAATTACTGGGGAATGTGAACATGAAATATGGCCCTGACAAAGTCTTTCCTTGGYTGACTTCCAATACAATCAGAAGCCTACCAGGTATTAAACAGAACTTACCAATGGCTATCTGCTCAGCACAAGGATTGCTGGATGGATTTTGAGCTGTAACTAATATCATAAAGCACTGGCCAAAACCAAAGACTGACTCAGAAGCTTTAAACTTCATACATGAGCACTTCACTAGTTACTGACAACCAACCAGCAAGTGGAGTTMCACTGGCTTGTCTGGCACAGGGGGTGGTGTAATATTAACACTAATTGGGGCAAATGCACTGCTTAGACAGCACTCTCAGGTCCTTAGAGCCAGGTAACAAAGGCCAGGGATCCAAGGAAACAACACACTGGGAATAAAAAATGCCAGCCACCACTACTTCAGATCCAAACTATACTAAAATAGCTTCAATGCCTGGTGACAATACATTTTCAGCTGCCTAATAGGTTGGCACATTTGGACTCATTAAACATAATGCTACAGGAAAAAAAAATTGTCTGCACAGGAGTAATTTTTTGTCATTTAGTATACCTCTTAAAGCTCTTMAACACCTTATTCAGGAAGTACTTCCTATCATAACTTTAGAGCCTTAGAGAAATAACAAAGCCAGGAAACAACTCACAGCAGGATCAGGTATACAACAGGAAAAAGGAACTCCACACTTCTCACGACTTTTGCTTTCACTCTTGCAGTCAAAGTATATGTTAAAGTCCCAGTCTTCTGGACCTTGGGCACCACAGCAATGGTTCTGCAACAGAAACAAATATCATTCCAGAATATTTGTTCAGTGAATAAATTATCTCTAAAATGCCTCCAAACAGTAAGTTTGCTTATAAATCTTAACCATCCATAAGTCTGTACAGAATCAATGACAACAGCAGAGTAAGAAAAAAGGAGTAATCACTAACAGGGCTCTATGAAATCAAAGCAATACATCTGGAATACTGYTCCTGGAAACACCTGTCAGCATGTCAAGCAAAATCATAAAAATTATCACCTCAGATGTAATTGTCAGGTACCATCAGTTCCATTGCAAASTTTTTTCAAGAGAAAGTTTTCTCTTAGGGAGCAAGGGAAAGGGGAGCAAATGAGGAAGGTCAAAGGCAGATGCAWGCCTGATAGAGCTTCCACAGTGGACATTAGAACAACCCTGGATCTCAGGTTATCTTTCCTCCCTGCTGCTTTCAATACAGAAGGAAGAAAAACAGCACATCTGTAACACAGAACCATTAGCTACTAAGTATGACAATTCTGGAACAAAAATGAAAACTTTCAAATGTACATATTCTCACAGAAGGCATCAAAGAAGTGACAGGATATGAACTTACAATTCTCTGTAGTGAATCAATGATGTTCTGGAGGTCAATATCATCTCGGTAGGATTTAATGTTATTCTCAAAGAATTCTTTTACCCTGTCCCTCACCCAGTCCTGGAACAGGAAAGCCATAACTGCTACTGCCAGCTCCAACATGAATATAAACACGATCGTTCCACAGAACTGAAAAAAAAAGTCGTAAATTAGAAAATATGAGTTCATTTTGAATGCATCCCTATACCACCAGAAACAGACACAGAGAACTAGATTCAAATTTTGTCTCAGTACAGAGAGTCTCAAATAAGCTACAAGGTAAAGAAACGCCCAGGAGGCAGAGTTATCCTTTTGTTTTGGTCACCTGAACTTGACAGTAAAAAGGGCATCAAACAGTCATTATGTACAGCAGTGAAAATATTAATAAATGGGAATCTGTAAAACACAGGGCTGAAGTAGCCTTCATATTACCTCTCGGATTGTTTCTAAACTTAAATTTGTTTTTTAGAATTTTTGGTCCAGCTTAACTGTTTTCAGATCTAAAGCAAAGAAGCCTCAGTATAAAATCAACCATTTAAGAAATTTTACTTCAGTCACTGAAATGCCAAAGTTTTGCCCACCCAACATCTACAAAAAACTTCAAATTTTTAAGGGGTTTTGTTCCACTACACTATATTATCTCAGTAACTCCTAACTGACTAAGTATGTTCCATAACATCACAATGTTAGATTCTGGTATAATATAACATCACTGTAGAGCAGAACAAAGGGAAAGAGAGAAGGATGAACATGTTCCACAAAGAGGAAAATCCACAGGCTGGTACCACCTCTTCTTTCAATAACATCACTCAGAGCCTTGTAAAGGCAGCAATTTTACCATATACTTTGCAACAAACCAAACTCTAAATTAATAATCCGATTTTGCTCCCAGTTTCTTCATCACTTGCAGCTTTCACATATGTAATAAATCCCTCATCTAACGGTATTACTTACAAACTTCAGAAGGCAGATGTTTTCTCTCAGTGCTCCTACACAGCCAGCAAATCCCAAAGTAAACATCACTATTCCCACCACTAAGACAAGCACCACTGGGTCCAGACCATGAAGACCAGTCACCTTTGTCAGATCAGACAATACACCCTGAAAGAAAAAGCCAGAACAGAATGTGATCACTATAAGCATGTTATTCATTCAGCATTCCTTCTGGATGATTTCCACATGATTCTGAGTGAACTGCAGCAAACCCTCTAACTTGCCAACAGCAACACCCACAAAAAAAGTCTTGCTRTAAAACGGTTATTGACAATACCAGTTTTCTTCACCCCACCAGAAGAACTACTAAAGTTATAGATAATAACTTTTTGAATAGGTCAGSTTCTCAGATCACATCCTCCTAGGTCTGTGTGCCAAACAGAATTCCACAAGATGGTGCCAAAAGCTCAATACTATCACTGAATGTTCATTTAGTTTCAAGGCAAAAGGMTTAGTATTTTATATTAACTTGAAATGCATCAATCAGAAGGGCACTCCAATATTGCCTAAAAACAAATTAAGAAAAATTTTCCAATCCTAATGTTTAAGTGGCAGAAAGGGAGAGACATTCTAAGGACAAAGCACCTGATGGATGACATTTTTTACAACATGCTGTTTTAAAAAGAAGGTTATGGGGATTTTCCCTAAAAAAAGATGTAWAGTCAAAAATCCTGAAGGACAGAAACAAGGGATAATTCAGAAAACTCTCATCCCATCATACCCCTTTCCCTAAAGGCACTTCTGCCTGTGCCATCTGCACCTGGTACAAACTCCTCAAAGTACAGGCTGCCCTGTACAACACAGATTTCCTGTAGGTACACAGGAATGCAGTGTGACACTTGAAGTCAGTGTCAGAAGATTCTATAACAAAACTCACAACAGGTCTTTCTTTCAGTCACACAGAACAGTGACTACTCCATGCTCTTGAAGTCCCTCTAAAYGACAGTCTTGATCTGAAGACTGACTGCTCCCTCTCCATTTGGTACTAGCCACAAACTTGCTGGAATGAAGACAGGCTGAGTAACCTCTGGTTTCCCAGATCTTCCTTTGCATCCTTCTTGAAACCATTTTAACAACAAAAACTGTTTTCCTGATAAGAGGGCTCACTATTATTAACCTTGTTTCTAGCAACAGCTTACAATCATTCTCTTAGTGATTTTTGCAGTGTGGGGTGAGACAGATAGTGACTCTTAAAATTTTATGGAAGTTAACTTTGACATGACTGTTCAGAATAACTAAAGCCAGGTAAAAAATCATAAGGATACACCAGTTAAGAGACACTGGATAAGAGGAGTCAGAATAATAACATTTTCACATATAGTATTTTCAACACTTCCAACAAACCAGCAGTTTCTCTACCAGCTAAAAAAGAAACATAGGATTTATAGCCAGAGAAAAAGACTGCTGAGGAATTAATCTGAAGTGCAGTCCTAACGCAAAAAAAAAAAAAAATAAATGGACCTAATGCACTTCATGCTGTGGTAAGAGACAGGATGTTGAGAGCTCTTCCACCAGYAGTAGTTTATCTTTGGGTTTACCACTGCAGCACAGTTCCTGCAATGTTTTTCTCTTACTTCCCCCAACTACTGCTCACCAARATGATTATCTGTAAACACAGGCACTGTTGTCTAAAGAAGAGCACTACTATGAAAGATTGAAAACATAGCACAGAACAACTGATGTAAAAAAAAAAAAAGAATAGATTTCATGAGCCATTCAGAAGTTCAAAACCACAGAAAGACATTTATTCACAAGATGGCACAAAGAGCAGAAAGAGTTCGGGCAAAATTTTAAAAACAGAAAGAGCATGTCTTTGCCTTTTAGTAACTWCAGTGCACCATAAAGTGAATTTGACAAATGGAGATAAGTTGTAAGATATTGGTCTTCAGCCACACAGATCCTATGTGTTTATCTACAAATCAAGAATGTTTGAATGTTACAGAACACAAATTCAACACAAGTTTAACACACTCCTTAAAAAGTTGGAAAGAAAATTCTTTTGTAACAACAAAATAGGAGGTAAATGCATTTGTGTGTTGAGATAGGTTGCTTACTATACAGCAATGATAGCACTAATCTAGTTATGAGAATGTGTGCATGCACATAGGAAGCAGGGAGGAGAATAAATACTACAGAATTAAGATCATCATAAAACTCACTTCCAAMAAGCACAGGAATCTCAGAACCTCTCTGTATGTGCACAGCTGCTGTGTATAGCCATTTCAATTAAGAAAAACGGAACATATGATGGTAATTGAACTCTTATCACTTAGTGGCACAACTGAACAATGAGGACACCCGCCCTCCACTCCCGACTGAGATGCAGATCAGTAAATCTAGTAATGGTCACTCTTTCCGTGTTTTTACATTCATTCAAGGGGTTGAACCATTCATTTCCACACCCATATTGTTYTCCTCTCTTGTAACAGGAGAACTCCGAGTACACATCCACACAACTTCCTCCAGCTGAGGAAGTTTTATAGCTACAAGAAACCTTTGCTAAAAATAAGAGTTATTCAACTACATCATGTTCCCCAGTTTTGTTCCTCTACATGGAAACACAATCCCTTAAGCACTCCATGGGGAATAAATTGGACAACAGATGGACAACAGACTGGGACCATCTTTCTGAAGCACTGGAAAGAYGCATGTTTAGATAAACTAGTGCTTTTTTTTAATATAAAGAGAGCTGATATTCCTCACAAATACTTGTTTGTAATAAAAGGAGGTGGGTAAGAAAACATATTTCAGAAAACACGCTTTTGAAAGAGAATCTCTTTATAAAGGCTAAATTCTCSCTAGTGTCCTACTCATACAAGTTCATAACAAAGCTCTGAATATCAAGAGTCACAGCTCAACTCTGGATCAGGGACAAGAAGCAAATTCCAACTAAACTCRGTTTAGATCATCTGAACGATCCTGAGCTCAGATGCTACATTTAACCATCGCTGCTTCCTGAGGAAGTAGTTTTACTGGAGCAGGAGGAGGCAGCCACTGAAGTAAGACCAATCATTTCTATCCTTACCTTTTCACTCCATGCCCACAGACCAGCTGCAAGGAAGGCCACTCCAGCTAGCTAAAATTAAAAAAAAAAATAAAAAAAAATTAGATGTACTAATCAAGCACATTCTGAAAAAACTTGGCCAGTAGCACTACTACTCAAGTAAAACAAATACTGCCTGTAATTTGAGACAACAGTAACAGGACACTCCTCCCCATGAGTCAATCTCTTGCAAAAATCATTTGAAGGACACTAATTCCACAGCATTTATGCATTTTATAAATTACTTCTCAGAAAGCATTGTAATTTGATTCTTCATGATTACTGAAGGAGCACACAGTACTTAACTGACAATCCTACCCAGCAGCATGCAACTGGGAATTACGCTTGTTGCAATGATTGCTATAAAATGYCTGCCTGCACAGAGAACCTCTCTGTATGAGGATGAAGACAACAGAATATTTAATGCACTTTGAGGTTATTCCCTCTTTAGTCATTTAACAGTACCAATCCCAGACCTTGACTCCTTGTAAMTTCTCAGTGCCAAGGCTCAYTGTATTAGCCTCTTCTCTGATTAGRCACAGCCTATCTTGTGAATCTGCACCTTGTTTAAGCCCATTTGAATCAAGGCAGATTAATGGTTCATTTGCTTACTTTACATAAACAACAAATCTAACTGACAACACACAAACTCTCCACTAATTCATACGTTTGTATAATAAACATTCCTGAGTTACATTCACCCAAATGAAGCAAGAGTTCCTTGCTTTAGTATTGTATTTGCTTTCTCCAATGCTCAGGCAGCTTGTTTGCAACATCCAATTTCAATAATCAAACTAAAATGACCTCTGCATAATCCAAGGGCAGCTCTTCCTCATTACTTAAAAAGCATTCAACTCTGCTAATGTCAGGAGGGCCTCATAGCTCTCCACAACTACCTGAAAGCAGGTTGCACTGACGCAAGTATCAGTCTCTTCTCCCACATAAWAAGCAGCAGCACAAGAGGAAATGGCCTCAAGTTGCACCAGRGGAAGTTTAAATTGGATATTAGGAAATACTTGTCCCATGAAAGGGTTATCAAGCATTGCAGCAAGATGCCTAYGGAAGTGGCTTAGTCACCATTCMTAGACATATTTAAAATATACACAGACATGGCATTTTGTGACACTGATTACCTGGCAGATTTGTTAATTGGATCTTAGAGGTCTTTTCCCACCTAAATGACTCATTTATTCTGTAGAAAGGGCTGAGCTTGCTTCCCCACTGCCAAGACTTACACACATTGATAAGTAAATCCCAACAACTGAAAAAACACTTTGAAAAAGGAATCATTTTCAATAGGAAATGCAGCACCTCCCATGAACTGAATGGGCATCACAGGCAAGCACTAAAAATGGAACCCTCTTACAAGTCGCACAAGAAAACAGGTGAGTAGGTTTTAAGTACTGCTGGGCTCACATGCTGCTTACCCTAATCTCATTCGGTGCAAGTGAAGTTGTTCTGAGTTCACTGTGCTGGGGAGAGTGGGGGAAAGCAAAGCCAAAAAGGGCTGCAAGCAYCATTCATGTCATTCCATAAAAATTACTCAAAATTACGTTAGACGCTTTTGTCTCAGCAGGAATTAYGATATGCCATATCTGGGGCCTTAAACAACCAAAACACAGCTAATACATGGAGTTATGCCAGGACAAAGCAGTGCTAAATAAATTTCCAGATGCTGGCTAATAAGCAACAGCACAGTGACTACTCACTTTGGACTCTGAGTATGTTAAGAACATCTAAAGTGATCATTTGGATCAAAGTACAACTTTTAAACATACTATTAAAAACCCCATCAATGTAAACAGAATATTGATCAAGATTAACCCTAGATSTTAACCAGTGATCTTCAGATGACAGAAAGAGGGGAAAACAGTCAGTAATCAAACTTGCATGTCATTAAGTGCATATCATTATGTGCACAGTGCATGTAATTGATGCATCCTTCATCCTTTTCATTCCAAATGTTCCAGGAATGCAGGGAGACAGATGAAKACAGCTGGTACAATTTGCAGTAATCAAGGTAAATTTCACAGTAGACAGCTGGATCTTTGGAAACTTTTTCTACAGAAAACAGGGTGGAAAAAATAATTGCGAAGACACATATTCCATTCTCTGTATAYAAATTAAGGGCACTAGAATGCTAATATAGTGCTATTGAATTTGTAAACAGGGTGACCTCTTCAGACTGTGCCTTTCATTATAATTACCTTCTTAATTAAATTGTAATGGATTCTTGATTAAGTAGATTTTTCACTAGCATGCATTATTTTCACCTTGGAACACAAACCTTGTTCTCATGTTCAGTTTTAAGAAACTGTACTATTTKGTGAAGTTATTTCCATAGGCATCTATGCAAGTTATCTACAATTAAAATAGAGTTCAACAGAAGAAAAAGAAATAGTCTCATAAAATCAATGTGGATAAATCTAAAACTTAATTCAGCTAAGACACGAAATTCATAGTTTTCACTAGAAGCAATTAAACCAGATACATTAAGTTTCTTTAGCAATAATCCAGTAAAGTAGGATGTTCTTGCAGAAGAACCAAAGCTATCAGCCACTACATTGACAGATGCAATTATGAAGTTAGCCAATTTGCAACAAATAAAATAGCAGCAAAATGAAAAATTAAAAGAAATATTTTTGCTTTAAAGACTAYGTGCAAGACACTTTAAAATATCTCACTGAAAACTATTGTAAAACTCACCATGGTGATCAAACTACCTCAGAAGTCTGTGTGATTTTCACAGAGGCATTCAAGTGACTGCTATGAGGCAGACCAGGGGAYTAATCCTGCCCAAACTGAATGTGAAGTTTAACTTTCTTCAGCTCACTGAACTAAATGGCTGAGTGAATGGGACAACAGGCAGCTGAGAAGAAGCAAGGATAACCAAAAGTGCTCCCAAGGTGACAGTAGCCAAGTCAGCTATTTCAAAAAAGTGCAACATTTTGAAACTTGCCTTTCACCAGACTCTGAGTGACAYGTAAACAAGAACAAACTGGACTAGCCAATTCACTGCTGTACTGGAGAGTCACTTAAGCCATATACTGCATGAAAGGTTAGATAGAAACATACACAAAGCAGCTCAATTGAGCCCCTTTGAACAGGAAACTAAAACACCATTTAGCAGCATTTGGTTATTTCCTGCTTTAGAATTGAAAAATCTTTAACATTTTGCATCAAACTGYAGGCTCTGCACAGATGTACAATACTGATGCCAATTCAGAGACACTGTGCCCCAGACCACTTTTAAGCATTATCCATTTATCCATTTCCAATTACACTTTGATTCCCTTTGACTATACCGCCAGAATCAAACCACCAGCTGAGAAAACAGGAAAAATTGTTTCTCAAATGTAGGCAGCAGCTAAACAATTCTTGCAAGACAACCCTTTACACAAACTGACTGTGGGTCAGTCTGCCCCTAGGTCTGATCAACAGCAATAGGAATTGCACTCAGTTTTTACATACTCTTCCACTGCCTGGATAATTTCACRCTGCAGCTCCACCCACACTAGAGCAATCAGCAGCCTGCAGCCCTTCCTTCCTATCCTTGTCTCTTCAGAGACTCTTCCTCTCAGAGTCAGGAAACCACCTGGTGGAACACATTTTTTCCTCTTCCTGGTGCAGTCTCGCTGTTTCAGAAGCTCCTGAAAAACAACGTACACTCCAAAAGCCAAGAAAATCTTATTCTAACCTGGGTCTTCCCTTACGTTTCAAAGAGACGATCCCAGAATTCTTTTCCAGAACTGAAGAGACTTTTTTCTCTTCATCAACGTGTTCAGGGAAAAATGTCACATCTCCTACAGGATGAGTGAAAAGTTCTGGTTTTGTCTCCAAAAACCCTCAGGAGTCACACACAAAACTACAGACCTTTAGAAGATAARTCCACATGACAGTAGCCAAAAGCTACTTTACCCTCTCCTCTGAATTCCTGTGAGAGACAGTGACCTCATAAAATCTAAAAGKCTTTGGCAGAGCACACATGCAATCCTTTGCTTCACCTAAATAACCATGTCTTCACTATTCTCAGACTACCCCAAAAAAACCCTTTCAACTGGAGACAAAGCAGCAAGCACCAGAGACAAGTGTTGAGGCATTGCCTTTTATTCTCTGKGTTTTCTTATGTTCAGGCTAGAAGGCATATAACAGTGCTACACTCCAAGACAGGGTACTCCTTCCTCCTTCCAAATCTCACAGAAGATCTCACTCAACTGCAGAATGACGCAGAACAGAAAGGTGCCAAAACCAAGCTCATCACTTGCCTCAATCAAGGCATTGCTGGAGCCTTTAAATTGCATCATGACAAATGAAGTTATTTGACAAAAAAATAAAAGCTTTCGAACACAAAAAGGTCCAGGTTCTTATCTTGCTCTCTGCAGGGCTATCTTAATGGTTGCAGCAGTGCCTTATCAGCACTCATTAACAGGAGTGTACTTGGACAATCTAAGTCTTATGAGCATGCTYAAAAAGCAAGATGAAAATAATCACACATCAAAATCCTGCCTAGGAAGACAGAACATTCCTATGAGCTCCATTCCCTTAAAAGAACAGGGAAGTGATATTGCAAGCCAGTAATACACAACTAAAAGCCAGAACTTTCTATTCCCAGGTTGTCCACCTGAAATAAAAGACTTTCAAAGAATGAAGATTTCTAAAGACTGATTATACTGAGCTTGTTAWTATTAGCCATGTTTTCCACCTCTGAGTTCAATATTTTGTTTTATCCCAATCTATGTKAACTGTATTTGAAGCAGTAACCACTCACTGAAAAGTCTAAAAATTTTGTGAATTACTTCATTGCCACATGCTTTAAAATTTATACAGACATTGATATTATCTTTAGAGCTACAATGGCGAAGTCAACCCTTAGCTTTAGTAAGTACGACAGAAGAACAAATGCAATTRTTTACATGCACATTACCTGGCTTGTGCATAAACTGTCCTGAGTTGAACACAGGACAGCTCTATCAGCTTATATGGGCAAGATGCTTTCTGCCCATCTATCTAATTCCATCCCTCATACACCTCTAGAGCAGCCACACTCACTAACAAATGCTCACAAACATGTTCCCACAAGCACCTGTTCTGCAACCCAAGGAAAGCAAAGCAAGATCAACACTCCCTGCTAAAATGCTGCTTGTAMGTTATGGTTACAGCTCCCCTTTCAGTTTTGTAGTCCTTCATTTCTTTTAAGGCACATAGAAAATTTACTGTTTCACAAATGGTGAATTGGTAGTCATCCCTGGCAGCAGGATTTCACAGGCTCCTGAATCCTTATGTCAGCTAAATGATTCATGCATTGCCTGCAGGGGTGTCTACCTTCAACATTTAAATAGCTTGTTCTACAACTGAAGGTGCCAAAAATCTTATCAAAAAGCTGTGGTTRCCCATCATTTACTAGGTCAGCCTGATAACTTCTCAGTAGAAGCCTCAGACCCTTTGATGAGGAAGCTACCAAGACTACAAGTACCTAGTCAGAAAGCTATTTCTTCCAACAGATCAGCTGAAACACACAAATTGTATTATGARTTCTCCTCAATTTTTTGGCATCTCTTTAGAAGTTTTTCTTTAAAGAACAGAAAAATCTTTAGATGTTCATCATTCATTTCAAGAGAATACAGTTTAAAGAAAAGTGAAAAATGCAATGACTGCAGAGAAGAAAAAAGATACAAAATTGAATCCTGTGAAAAAAACAGAGGCAAATTTTTAACAGTTCTCTTACAATGAAGACAAAAAATTTCAGTTTTGCAAAGGGCCATGGAAACACACCCTACTTCATGAGACGTTCATTAGAAAAAAAAAAAGTAAAGGTCTAAAAGAAACCTAATATATTCATAAACAAGAGTGTTGATTTCTCATATATCCCACCATGAACTGCTGAAGAGCATCTACCCAGTTATGAAGTGATTTCTGTTAAAACCAGAACATTTGACAAKTGTTACTTCACTAAAGGTATGTGGAAATTGTGCAGTACAGAAGAAAAAGAACTGCAGAGCTGGTGGTTTGTAAGCACAATTTTTGGCCTGTCGAAGGCATCCTCAATTAAAACACGGAAAACATCATCCCTAACAAACACCTGCACTATGCAATATTGTGGCAAATTAACCCTTAATGGAACAAAAGTTTCTAAACATCTTCYCGACCCTGTTACCCACATAAGGATAACTCTGGCTTAATGCTACAGTATCATGTCAGAACATTGCACTAGTAAGGTGACAGCAGCAAAAAGTTCYGTGGTTTTCAGCAACTGTATTAGCAGCACTGGACAACTCACCATATCTGCACTTTTCCAGGACTACTCTTAGGTCCTTCCATGACTGCAGTTCCTATGACTTCARGGGCATAAACTCCTTAACATTTTTCAATTCCAAAAGGAATTACAGAGTTTATCTGAATTGCATCCTCACCTTCCCCTCGCATACATCTTAATTCTTTCTAGTGCAATGCTGTGCACTAACCTTTAAATAGCCTCCTTTTCTAAGGCAGGTGCTTCAGTGACCTTAACCATCAGACACATCTGAAACCACACACCTGTTATCGTATCCTTTTCACATTCACAATTGGAAACAAACATTATAGGCAGGTTAGTCCATAGCTAAGGTCTTCAAGACTGTATCAGACAATTCAGCTGCCCACATGTGTTGCCAGCTGCTGGCACATCTCCTTTTTCTCTTCTGTGTGGCTTATTTACAGCTACAGCACCCAACAAAGATCAGAAATGATCTGAAATGGGACATTATAAGAGGTTTTTTTTTAATAGGGAAGCAACTTAACATGATAATATGGATAATGAATCTCCACATCTTCAGTAATCATTAATGTCTCATATGGGACAGGCTCCTTCAATTATAAAACACCTTGAGGCATCTATACATCAGTTTCCTGCTCTCAGGCAAGTATTTCAATTTGTTTTCTTGAACAGAGYAATGAAGTTAATAAAACTGAGCTCTGCCTAAACTATTTCACTCTCTACATTTTGTACTCACCCAAAAGACAATGTTGTAGCTGAAGAGCAAATATTTGTACCAACAGCTGACTTCTGCAGTAGAATATCGGTAATAGTGCATCTTCTATAGCGCAGCGTCTGCACAGAAGAAAAAGAATGAGAGGGATYAGGTAAAGCTTTCAAGGAAAARGAATTTTTTCCAGCTCTCTCACTCAGTTGAGAAAGGGCGTACAGTAACCTGTACATGACCATATGCCATTCAGAGATATTTTTATGTCAGCTCAAACTTCCACTGACCCTAAACTTCCTTTCAGTATTTCTTGCTAACAATTCTACCTTTAAGCACTCTAATGTTGTAACAGGGYAGGCACACCCACAAAGGAAATTCACTATATAGTTAGCCTTAAAAGAGCTGCATCAGCAACTTGACATTCATCTGCCTTCTCACTCTTTCAAAACGGTTTTACTTCTGCAAACAGCTGCTTGGACTGATCCACAAAGCCTGTGGATTGCATATCCAGCAGTCCAGCTAGCTGGAGGTCCAAAGTGGTTACCTCAAATCTCTCAGTGTCTACAGACTCCTAAATACAATAGGTAGTTGTACCCAGCCTCTTCCATAYTTGCATGTTCCTTTACCAAACCATATCCTCTAAGTGGTTTTATTCTCAAAAATTGAAGTCTCACCATTTAAGAGCCAATCTGCTTTGTGGAATTTGGTTTGCTTCCTTACACATGTGAGAGAGATAAGGCTCAACTGCAACTCTTGCTCAAATATTTCAGAGAACTACAGCTTTTCATAGCTAAACCACCTCTGCAGAAATGCCACGCATAAGAAAAACAGAGAACAAGCTGTTAAATTCAGAGCAGGAGTGAGCACTTGCACAGCCCTCATTCCCACAGCTGAGCACTGCCTAACAGACAAGCAGCATTTCAACCCTTCACTTGCTGGAGGTAAACGTCAGTGAAAGGTTTGCAAAGGAAGCAAGAATAGAATTCTGTAATCCCATTTTACAGCAAGACATTGCCTGCCCGTGCAAATATATTCTCCAGATGCTGACACATTGAGACCTCCACCACTGTTTTGCCTCCCTCCCTGTGACAATCAGGAACCWGGTAAAAGATAGGAGCAGCAACTGCAAAATGCACTTAAGGAACATAGCTTTTGGTGCTACTACACCTACAAAAGAGAAGGCAGAAAGCTGCATCTAGCTGGCACATCATTAAATTTCATAAACATGAGGTTTCTGCTAGACAAAGAGGTTTAAAATATAACCTGAGGGAAAAAGGCAGGTACACCATTTCGGGACCTAAAGTACAAACATCATCTGAAGACTTATTTTTTGTTGGGTTACCCTCCCATTGGGACTTACATCCAACTGTTCAGTTCCAGCTTCACTGAAATTATTTACAGGAATAAGAGCATTAAAATTACCTTTATCGATAAGCACCACTCCCCACCTACTTCATTGTTTTGACCACCAGCTTGAAAGACATTTCTCCCCACTTCAAACAACCGGTAAGATGCCCAGTCAATAYCACAGTATTTTAACAGAAAGAAAAAGCAAAATACTTTTCCAASATGCATACTTCTTAATGCTTGGAGATGATGGGGAGGTGAGGGGAGGCATTACCAGTACTAGCAAGAAGCTCTCCTGCAACAGCACACAGCTCCTCAGACAGATATTAGCTTCCAAAACACCTGCCTATCTTAAGAGCTGATATGACTTGCTCTGTGCTTACTCATCCAAATTCTTTTGGTGGTTCTTGACAGACCACTGAACAATATATGGCTGGTATGGGAGTGGCATAATAAATCTCAAGTGCAGGTATGTGATTTTCCCCCCCGAACATAAAAGCAAATGAAGCAGTCCACTCGAGGCTACACAGCCACCTTCCCCACATTTACACTAAAAGCAGTCATGTTTGCTAAGACAGAAGCCATCTGTTACCAGTCTAGAAATCTGCTATGTCAGTAATTCACTTCGTTCACAGCACAGGCTGCATAGCTATGGTTAGACAATACTAAAAACACTTGGAAGATTAAAGCAGTATGTGGGCAGCACAGACTAATAGCRTTCTCTACTGTGTTTCAGACAAAGCAAGTCACATTGTGTCAGCTGACAGTTATACCCACTCACAGCAACAGCAATTTCTAAAAATTAAATGCAGAGCACTGCTGCTTTGGTAGAATATAATTTTGGTGTTTACAGCATTAGTGAGGGAGGAAAAATGTAGTCATTCATCAAGAGGCTACTGCCTTTTCCAAAGCTTTTCTACACCCACAATTCTACTCTTACCTTCAAAATGAAGGTAAGAAGCAGTGAATATTCCTAATATATATTCCTAACTCTCACAAAACAGATTATGTGATCTATTAACTAATCTAATGTGAATATGCAAACAAATCCTCATTTTAAGACATTAAGTCTAGAACAATTGAAAAAAGTCAGTTTGTAGATTTAGGTTCACAAATTCTTTTAATCCTCCAGAGCCATTTACTTTACAAGGCAGACCTAAGTCACAATGAAGTTCCAAGTTYAGCCAATACTGCCACCATATACTATATACCCCATCAGAGTCACGATCCCCTTCCCTGCCCCCCTAAAATCCACATCCATTAATCAACCTGCTCAGTAGAGCAAACAACCACACAGCAAACCACATAGCATATCTTCAGATCAATTCTGTATTCTTGAACCACACACCAAGAAATAAACAGCTTTAAGCCTTCCAAACTACGTTCCCAGAGCATTTACAATGCCACTGTGGGGCAGTCAGGAGGAGGCAGGAGGAATGAAAAAGGAAAAGCAGTGGTAGCTTGACTGTCCTTATGGAAACACAGCAYCCCTCTACTGCCAGCATACACCAGCACCACAGACTACATCACACATGAAGCTAACATGCTAAAAGAGATGAAGCTGAAGGAACAGGGGCACAACTGAGGCAAGAGGAAAAGGAACAAAAAAAAAATAATTGTCAAGCTGTTGGATGCTCCACCACTGTTTACCAATACAAAGCATCACATCTGTATAAAGCTGGTGAAGCAAAGTCAGAATAAGCTGAGGAGCAAGAAGTTTTAAAATACAGCAAGAGATGTACTTTGGCCTATGAGTTGTTTTGGTATGACTCCTTAATTCCATTACTCCATCAACACCAAATCTATATCAAAAAGCATCATTTCAGTCAGTCATTAAAAACAATGGTCATTCTTTGAAGGTGCTCAATCTTTAAATTTTTTTTTGTGAAGGTAAAAGAATGCCTTATCCTTGACTAGGCCTTATTCAGAGACATTCTTTGGACCTTCTAAAAATGGAACAACTAAGAGGCACTATGGACTCCTCTTCCACATCTTGGAGAGAAGCTGACCACCGAAGGGGACAACATTCAGTAAAGTATCTGGGYGCTAGCCTCATGTGGAGGGGCTGAGCTGGTACAACAAAAAAAGAAGAAAAACTGACAGGTCTGATGCTCTTACAGGCTAATCTGTTCATGGAAACAGAGACAGTAGAACTGCTGATGACTCAGGAACTCCAAGCAAGCATGTGTCATTCTGCAATTTTGTCTCCAAGCAACTCAGACCACTTGTCTGAGCAACTCAAAAAAAGAGACAAGCTTCTCTTAATGAATAAAATTATAGTTTATTTACTTGTGCTGCACTCCACATGAGCAGAGAAATATCTGCTCATTCTTAGAAGAGGATTAATCAACAAAAGGGTATTTTTTTAACCTGAAAGACTCATGATGAAAGACARACATCATTAATAAGTTATCCCTGTTTCACCAGAAAAACGATGGCCAGTAACAAATCTCAGAACTCCATGGAAAACATGGGCAAAGCMAGACAGAATTCTTAAGACATCAGTTTTTGGGGCCCCTATTTTGTACTGTGCWGAAGATTCAAAGTCCTCAAAGCATTTGAAGAATATTTCAAGCACAAGTTGCTCCAGTGCAAGCACTAAAAACAAACAAACCTTCAGAGAAGAACAAATCCCCAACCCACTGGGAAGGGTTTCATGAGGTTTTCATGTTTCAGTGACCAGGCTTTATTCCATTACTACAGCACAAACTACAACTTAGGAAAACTTGTAAGTAACACACACCAGTGTTTCCAAATCCCAAACAAGGAAGCAGCAATTCAAAAGGGCTCCACTCCAGGTCTCTCTATAACTCACACTCAAGTAATGCTGTGCTTCTGGCCAAGCACTACTTCTGTGYTGCATCCAACATATCATCTAAGTACTCTGAACTCAGTAACATTCACAAAGTAGGCATTCCAATTTCCAAGGAATAAGCTACATGGTCATCAAGAACCTCTTCTTAACTCACCACTTGACTAACACCACCAATCCTTTGGCATAAAGGCTGTACACTGCACAACTGTAATTCAAGAGCTATTCAAGTTATGATTCATGGAATATTTTCAGCTCCATTTAATTTCTTAAACTAACAGAACTACACTAAAGGAAGACATGAAAAAGGCAAGTAGAATTCAGCACTGTTCCCAAAGCAGTACAAAAACTTGAGAGAGGACAACAGCAGTTTTAACAATTTCACTTTTCACTGTTCTTCATACAGAAGCTACAAAAGATATACTTGGCTGGCCTTGGCCTTGCTTCKATGTGTAGGAGTATTGATTCCTAGTTAGCAAAAAAAAAGCTACTACTAATGTTTAAAAAAAAAAAAAATCCAGAAAGCAAAAGAAGTTCTAGAGATTCCACATTTTCATTTGTACAAGCTGGTCAGAATGCAAGTCAATGACACTGTACAATGGGAGTACTGATAATGTAAATTCAAACTGCAAATATTTTCAGTTAATGACACTGAGAAGAGGCGCAACTCAATTACCCCTAGAATTTTAGTACATTTATGCTAGTTCTGTTCCACCAACCCCAGGTTCATTGAACAGCTAAGATACTTTCTGCTTCAACATCCAAAGGTGCTTGACAAAGGTACCAACTAAAAGGCAAGGATCTCTTACCTGACTGCAAATAAAAGCATAGACTCCACACTGTGACTTAAGGCAAGACAGAGCACAGGAAGCAGAAAAGGAAATGTTAAATGTAAACTTCATCTAAAAGCCAGCCATTTTCCAAACGTGAGGAGAACACGGTAGCAGAAAGAAGGATCCTTTCGTAAGC